CCCCCCCCCCCCCCCCCAATTCCGTTATCCAAAACGAGAATGCGCGTTGGCACGAACACGCAATTCCATTTCGCAAGAGATTGAATATTGCCACAAACGTGCCAAGGTTCATTCTTGTTTTGCACTTCACAACGTGCGCAGGGGAGAGAGAGAGAGAGAGATTGACACCATTCACTGCGCAGTGGCACAGCAAACGCGCCGTTTTGGGCTCTCTCTCTCTCTCTCTCTCTCTCTCTCTCTCTCTCTCTCTCCTCTGGGCGTTTGTTTGTGTCTGAAACAGGAATCTCCTCGTCAGCTCGGGAGGATTCATTCCCCACTACACAAACAAGATCCCACTACACAAACAAGATCTCTCTCTCTCTCTCTCTCTCTCTCTCTCTCTCTCTCTCTCTCTCTCTCTCTCTCTCTCTCTCTCTCTCTCTCTCTTCTGGATGCCCGCTGCTTATCTGGGACTACATTCAGCCCTCCTTGACTTATTCTGCATTGGGCTTGGTTCCATTTTGAGTGCATTATTATGACTACATGCTTGATCGTGAACGGAAGCTTATCATGATCGGGGGGGGGGCTCATTGCAARCCCCTCCTCTCTTGGGGGAAGAGAGCATCAACATTTTGGTGCTTCAAGGCAAAAACAGTACTTACGGCCTCGTAGAGCTTTTTCCTTTGTGTTTTTGTTTTTTACAGTTTGACGTTTTTTTGTTTTTTCCCCCTTCCCTTCCCTTTTGGGACATGCTGAACCCCCCATGCACTGTCTGCCTGTCTGGAGCGAGCAGGGCCAGTGTCCCACTAGCTCGTAGTCTTCCTTTCCGCCCGTAAGATTGCGAAGATCTACGGCCAGGGACGAAGAATCCTCGCAACTGGGACCTGACTCCGGGAATTTCCTATGATGGCCATAGCTATGCATGGAAGACAACTGACATGGCCATAACATGAACGATATACCCTTCAAAAAATAAAAATAGAAGCAAAATAAACACCGGGCACCACCAACAGGGTGATAGAATAGCCACTCACACGGGGATGGAATAGCCACTCCGCACGGGGATGGAATGGTCAGCCAATGTCGAGGCCATGTCGAGGCCATGGTACAGCCGTGGAATAGCCAAGCAGTTGTGTTGGTAATGGAATAGCCACTCCACACGGGGATGGAATAGCCACTCCSCACGGTGATGGAATAGCCAGCCAATGGCGAGGCGATGGTATAGCAGTGGAATAGCCAAGCACTTGATGTGCACTACCGTCACAGAGGTAGAATAGCCACGGCGATAGACTTGGAGCATGTCAGACATAAAGTAGGTGGTATTCCAGCCGAAAATCGATGGTGATGGCGCTCGTCACCATAGATGTGACATGATCTTGTCACCGTGGTACCCACTCGAATGTGACATGCTCTCTGTCCGCTCGACAGAGCACGTGGAGAGAATGTGGAGGTTGGTTTCGGCTTTTCTCTCTGATTGATTGTCAGTTGTCGAGTATGCCAAAACCAACCGGTGCCTCTCTTCACATTGCTCACAGGTATTTTATGTCAAGAGAATAGAACACGGTCGTTGGGTGCCGATGCCAATTCGCAGATGGCTTGTATGTGTGCCGCCGGGTTCCCACAAGGGGGAAAGGGAAGGGAAGGGG